GCCAGCACCATCCCTGGCAGCTCCAAGGGACCACACTGCCACGGAATGACAAGGGGGCAGAGCCAGCATGGCCTCAGAAGTCTAGGCCTCCTGTTCTCCCACACGGGACACTCCGGGCCCAGATGATATCTTCAGACCCCCAGCTCTCACATCACTGGATTTGTGAGGCCATGCACCCCAACCCCAGCTCCCCCACCCTGGCTCCCCATCTCCCAGCCTCTCCATCTGACACTGCTAGCCTTTCTGGGTGCTATTTACGCTGGTCTCTTCACCCTGGAACGTCAGCTTCAGGGGGCAGGGACTTCATTCTGCCCAGTTCACCGCCGGTGCCTTCAGCAGTGTGTTCAGTACAGCAGAAGCGCTCTATAAATATTTGTCAGGTGTGTGAGTGAACAAAGGAGCGGCAGGGTGGTGCTGGGGGAAAACCAGGGCTCTGGAGTCGGGCAGATCCCAGAGAAGTCCCGGCTCAGCCACTTTTTCTACTTCCACCAGTTCCTGAAGCTCTGAGCCACAGTCCCCACTTTGAAAAGGGGCCAAAACCCCAACCTCATGGCTGGTTGTGAAGGCAGAGTGTGCAGTCAAGCACCAGCCTGGGACATGACAGGTCTCCCTCAATCAATGGCGACTGCTGTTATTGTGGTCAACATTGTTTTAAAAAGTAGAGTTTATACTCCCCATGAGCTGTGCCCCCAAAAAAGTGGGAAACTTTGAGAAAATCTGAAGGCAGCTGTCACCACAGAAAGTCTAAGAAGTGTGGTGAACTGCCCCTTCCAGGGGTTCCCAGGACAGGAGCCAGCAGTGCTGGGGAGCTGCCATGGAGGGGAGCCCCCACCATCACACTTGTCTTTCTGGGTTACTGTTCTCACCCCCAGGGACTTCCTCTGAGCTCCCTTGTAATTTCAAAGTGCGCCGTGCATATCAAGGAGGCCAGAGCCCTAGGTGCCAAGAAACCTCATTTGTGTGGCTGCAAAAACTACAGAAAGCAGCCCGAATGCCCAGCGTTCTTCATCTTGACAAGCAGGTTTGTTCTGTAAGATTCCAGACCGTCCCTTCTTGGCTCAGCCACCAGGAGAAGGAAACAGTGCCACCCTGCATGTGTGAAACATCCCCAGAGAAAATCCCGAAGCAGGCATATTTGACAGTGGGGAAGTTTCCTGAACCACACACTGCCACCAACGCTGGGTTCTTCCAGGCCCAGGGCCACCCACGAGGAGGGCAGGAGGGCCTACAGGGCGTCCTTGAGCCTGAGCATGATCACTCTGCCACTGGAGGCTGGGCCTGGGTGCAGAGGCCCGGTCTTTAAAGAGCCGACAGAAGAGCTGCTGAGTGAAAAGGAATGTCGGGAGATCCGGAGGGCAGCGCAGGGTTTTGTGGGTGCTGGGGGCTCAGGGGCTCTGTCAGTGAGCCATCCCCACAAAGTCTGTGTAACTGAGAACAAGTGGGTGAGGGGGGACGAGGGGGAGGAAAGGAGCCACAAAAGTCACTCTCAAGGCCCTGGTGGACCGGGAGGAGGCATGGGGTCTTGGTCCTGTGCCACAGGAGCCCAGGGCGTTTCCGAGGGACCAGGCCATCGGTTCTCCAGGCTCCCGCACAGGGATAACAGGTATTATGTGCCCTCACCGAAAAGAATCAAACAGGCTCTGTTAGGAGAATATATATCTATAACATACACACACACGTACACAGTCGGACAACTACATTCGCGAACTCATCCTAGAAAAAGTGCTACAGACCTCACTGCTGAATATCACTGCAGTCCCCTTCGAAGTACTCCCCGTGGGGAGCTATGCACCAATGCCAGCGCCTAGTCCACCCTTCAAAGCAATTGTGGAACTCTTTTTCTGGAATGGCCATCAGAGCTGTTGTCGAATTACCCTTGATGTCATGAATGTCATCAAAATGTCTTTTTTTCAATATTTCCTTTATCTTCTGGTAAAGAAAGAAGTCATTGGGGGCCAGATCAGGGGAATAGGGAGGGTGTTCCAATACAGTTATTTGTTTACTGGCTAAAAGCTCCCTCACAGTCAGTGCCCTGTGCGCTGGTGCACTGTCGTGATGCAAGAGCCATGAGTTGTTGGCGAAAAGTTCAGGTCGTCTAACTTTTTCACGCGGCCTTTTCAGGACTTCCAAATAGTAAACTTGGTTCACTGTTTGCCCAGTTGGTACAAATTCATAATGAATAATCCCTCTGATATCAAAAAATGGTTACCAACATCGTTGCAACAAGTTTGTGAACTTAATTGTCATACCTCGTATGTAGTATATGAGAATATACATATACAGTCATGCACTGCGTAACGAAGTTTCGGTCAACAAAGGACCACATGTAGGACAGTTGTCCCTTCACATTATAATGGAGCCAAAAAATTCCTATGTCCTGTGACCCCTTAGGAACAAAAAGGGGCTCTGTAATAAATCTGACAAAACTCAGTGACCAAAAAAGTAACCTCACAGGGTGATCTGAGCACAAATTCCTAACTGGGCAGATCATGCATGGTAGGTAGCCACTACCCAGGTATATAGCTTCCCAATAACTGAGAAAATATTTGTAATTTAATACCTTGAGTGGGAAATACATCCACCTGGTTCAATACTTTTAAAAAATGTTTATACCTGTATACAAAGTTATACAGTGGTCTTGCTCCCACCCCTCCCCCAGCTCCTCACACAGTGAAGCTCTTCCCTCTACTGATGCAGTCACAGCAGCAGGAATCGTGCTTCCATTTCTGCCTGTTCCGCCCAAAAGACAGCACCCTGTGCATCCTGTCCTGTGCTTGCTATCTTCGCTGACAACATCTATAATGGCAGGATTGCGCATTCCTTTTTATACTGCATGGTACGCCACTGTATAGACGCATGGACCCTAATACTCCGCGATTAATGGACATTGGAGCTGTTTCCAGTCTTTTGCTATTCCAAAAGGCACTGCCAATGAGGGACCTCATACTTAACGTCATTTCTCATGTAGGAGGTAGGGAAATTCCCAGAAGCAGAACTGCTAGTAATGACAACCGCATCTTCCACAATGTGTGACAGGGTCCATTTCCACAAATTCTCATGGAGCAAATGCATTCCCAAAGCTTTGGGATTTTGCCAATTTTCTTGAATTGATGGAAAATGGCAACTCAGCAATAGTTTTAATTCGCATTTCTCCCATTTGAGTAAGGCTGAGCATCTTTCAAATGCTTAAGGGTCATTTGTTTTTTTCTTTCTTGAGAGTTTTTTACATTCTTTGTGTAATTTTTCTACTGGGATGTTGATTTTGTTGTTGTTGTTGATGTCTAGATTTTGAGGCATAGTTATAAAGGTCTTCTACTTCAAAGTGTCAAAGGAAACCCCTGCTTTAATTTGGCACTTACATAAAGTTTCACTCTCTATATTTAAATTTCTTTAAACAGTAAATCAGATCACATGACATTCCTGCCTAAAACCTCCAGTGACTTCCCACTGCATTCAGGATCAAATCCAGGCACCAGCCCTCAAGCCTCAAGCCCCTGCCCACTATAGCCATGCCCCCTGCCACTACTTCTCGCTCTTCAGTTCTGTGAACACGAACATGTCACGCTCTCTTCTGCCTCGGACCTTCGCAGCAGCTGTTCCCTCTACCTGGAATGCACGTCCTCTGCGCCTTCACCCAGAAGGCCCTCTTACTCTCTCACTCCGTCCAATGCCTCCTCCTCAGAGCTGTCCCTGGACCCTTCTCTAGCACAGGTCAGCCTCCTCCCTGTCACTCTCTCAGCACCGAATTTCTTCATGTCACTTATGCCATCCTGGTGACTTGGTCATTCATTTGTGTCCAGGTTTACTGGCCAACTCGCCTGCAGACATGAGCCCCATGAGGCCTTGTCTGCCTCAGTCACAGCCCTGAGGCTCTGGCCTCTTGCTCTTCCATACTAGGCCCTGTCACCTCAAAACACAGCCCAGAGCCCTCTGATCCATTCCCACAGGCACCACCACCTACCGCGCTTGTCTGTGACAGAGCTACTCTGAAGCCTCGGAGTACATGGAGACGAAGGCAGAGGCCAGGAAGGCACCTAACCCTGAACTTCAGGACCTGTGCCCCCAGGGCCGCAAGGGAGGCTTCTAGGTCTGGGGTGCCCTTCACGTGGCTCTTCTAGACGCCACATGTCCCGTTTTTGAGCTCCTAACCTCTCAAACACCTCCTGTTTTGCTATGCAGGACAGTTTGGCTACTGTACAGATAGGTGGGGTGGGCTTTCTGAGGACCACACGGCTCATTTAACTGCCATCTACAGATAGGTAAATTGAGTTCCAGTGAAGTCAGGCCACCAAGCCAAGGACCCCCAGCCAGTGACTGTGGGAGGCCAGGTCCTGTGCAATTAGCCCTTCCTGACGGCCCATCAACATCACGGTGGTGGCACTGGCCTGCCACGCCACCGGGAGTTACGAAGTCCCGGGTCCAGTGGTGCCAACCGTGGTCCTGGCAGCGTCCTTCATGCACAAGACGTGATGACCAAGACGCTGTCCACCTTCTATTGTCTAAACAGAAGGTCAATACAATCCAAGTGAATCATGCCAGTCACATGTAATTTAAAGTTTCCTGGTAACCACATCAACAAAAGTCAAAAGAAACAGGTGGAATTTATTCATATATTTTATTTAACCTAATATCTTCACATTATTATCATGTCAATATGAAATATGAGCTGTTTTACGTTTTCCTAAGTCTTCGAAATCTGGTGTGGATTTTACGCTTACAGCACATCTCAGTTCAGACTCGCCACATCCCCAACACTCAGCAGTCACAAGAAGCCAATGGCTACCCTGAAGGACAGCGCAGCTCTACCCGGCAGAGGCCTGGTGCTCGCCCAGGGACACCTGGTCGCTTGGGCACCCGGGGAACAGAGCCGAGACCTTCCCAGGAGGCTCCTCAGGTCTCCGGGGAGGGGGCGGGGCCAGAGCAGAAGCCCCGCCCCGCCTTGAAGGGACCCGGCTGAGCGCGGAACCTGGCGCTTACGGCGGCCAGCGCGGGCCACTCACCTGGCCACCGCCTCTACGGAGCCCGCAATCGGCACGCCGCCGCCATCGCCGGAGTCCATCAGCACGCCCGAGATGTCGAGCAGCACCCCGCGCACGCCGGCCAGCCGCTTGCCCCATGCGTCCATTGCACCCAGCCGTACGCCTCCAACTCCACGTCCCGACAGGCAGCTGCAAAGTGCGGCTGCGCTCGCTGCGCGGGGCCACCTGGGAAGTGTAGTCCGGCGAGGGGGCGGGGAGCCGGCGGGCGGGGGGTGCGGGAGCTGCCTCGGGACTCCGGGGTCACACGCCCTCAAAATGGGTGCTTTCTCCGCAGGAGATCAGGTGGAAAAATTTCAGAGCGAGGCAGATTGAAGCAAGAAGACACCTGTAAAAGTAAAATTTAAAGAGAACAGGCAGTGTCAGTGCTTTGCTGATAGTCTCATCCTTTGGTTGGAGAGTGTGGCAGCCCGAAAAGCAATGGAAATAATTGGACCATTGACCTGACAATCCTGCATCTGGGAAGGATGCTAAGGAAATTATTCTAAAGCCGATGACTGCGGTGTAAACTACAATGCCAAAACAAGCTGGAAGAAAAGTAAATGTTCAAGAAATTATAACATGCCACTGAAAGAAATATATGCCATCAAAAATGAAGACTAAGTAACAACATGGAAAATGCTCATGTTACAACATTTCATGAAAAAGCAGAATACAAAACTGTATGCAGACAGCAGCAGCCCAGTAAAAATAAGGATGCATAGGAATAGGGCTAGGAAGAAAATTGGAATATTGCAATGTGTTAAGCCAATGAAATTTGGGATTAATGTTTACACTCCATTTCATGTTACATCATTTTTGCAGTAAGTAAAAGCTGATAGAAAATGGGAAGAGTGTCCTTGACTTCCCCCTGACCCTCGAAGTATTTAAGTTGAAACTTGAGGAGCATTTGAGATCTTGCTTCCTGGCAATTGTCATCAGTTTGGCTCAAATAAATAAATGTCATAAAAATTCAAAATAAATAACTAAGTAAATTGAAACTTGAAAAAATTTGACTTATGGCCCTGCTTAACTTTGAAGTTTCTAAAGAAGATCATATTGGGTTGGCCACTTGGTTTCAGGCTCTTGATTCTTAGATAAGAAGAATTCGTCAGAATATTAGGACTTTAGCCCAGTTCAACAAATTGTACAGAACATGTTGATAAGTTTTTGTGGGAACTGTTGATTATACAGGAGAAATAGAAAGTAGTTCTTGCCTTTTGGGGGATTTACAATCTGATTGGGGGAGAAAAGAATATTATGCCCTGTATTGGCCATGGTTCTTGTTTGCAGAGGATAAAAACCACTCCAGCTAGAGGAGTATGTTTACACAAGGCAATTAAGGCGCTTATAGATTTCGGGGGGGGAGGGGGGCGGGAGACCCAAGCTCAAGTAGGACACAGCCAAGAGCCATGCAGCTATGAGAAACGCCCAGTTGCACTGCTCCACCAGGACCACTGCCCGTCATTTGGCTCCTAAGATGCCAGGGACATTCTTCCATCAGGCTGATGGATGGTATAGCACCCAAAGAACCAAATCCACCCACCACCATGCCCTTCAAAGATTCTTTCTCCACTTGTGGCCACCACCTCCCTTTTACCATGTCTCGCTTGGTGGAACCTAGTCCAATCTGCAAGGGAGTCTGGGAAATGCAGTTTTTGGCCTTCCAGATTCTGTGGTGCAGGAACTGAGTGAGTCGATCTGGACAATCAGCCACGAACACCATGATCCAGACACATGTATTGAACTTCTACTCTCCGGGCTAAGTGGGCTCTAGGGATGCAAAAAGGTCTGAGATGTGATCATTGCCTTTGAGTCAAGAGTGGCCAGAAAATAAGAGTACCTTTAAGAGTACTGACCAAATATGTGCCAAGCACCAACGAGTGGCATAGACACAGCCAAGAGGATGGACTCTGTGGGCCATGGAGGGCAGCAGTGGTTTCTGAGCAGAGGAACAGCCTAAAATGGACCTTAAAAAATGAGCGGGCCTTAGCTTCATGCCAAGGAAGAGGAGGAGAAAGGGCACTAATGCCAGTGGTGGTGAGCCTGTGCATAGTTCTCCCTCTTCCACGCGCTCTGTGTATGACATTGAGCAAATCACTCTCTATATCTAGGACTGTGGTAGACAAAATGGCCCATTGAAGATGCCCATGTCCTAATCCTCAGAACCTGTATATATGTTACCTTACATGACAAAAGGGACTTTGCAGATGTGATTAAGCTAAGGATCTTGAAATGAGGAGATTAGCATGGTTTGCCCAGCATGGATGGCCCATTAAAAGCATAGGTTGTTCCACAAATGCAGGGGGTTTCCCCGAAGAATGTTGGATCCATTATGAACCCATAGCCATAAACATTTCTGGATCCTATTCTTTTCATTCCAGCCTGTACCACCTCATAAGGTGAAGGTTTCTACTCCATCTTACTCAGACTGTGGAGCTTTGGGTTTATGCTATTGGGCCACCATTTATTCCTTTCAACCCTTCAACCTGCTAAACACCAGTGTGCTAATAGGCACAAAGACAGTGCTGTGTGTGCCCTAACTTTGGGGCAGCCCAAGGACCAGACAGTCTATATCCCTACAGTGTGATAATGTCTGTGCCAGTCAGGGTTCTTTGACCCTTGCTAATTGAGTTCCAGAATGGGGGTTGGAGGGAATTGGAAAGGCTCTAAGGCAGTTTACAGAATCAAAGGAAATGCTGAACAACCAAATCTCAGAAGGGCCCGTAACCATCAGCTCCAGGAGTGGGAAAAGGCAAACGATTTCTTTCAGGCATTGCTGCCTGGATCAAGCAGCCCCAACCCACGTCACTCTGCTTCAGATTCCCAGGGGAGAGAGCCTGCTGGGTCCTGCAGGACGCTACTCCTACCCTGTGGCCAGGGGAGGGTGGGGACCTTGATGGGCAGTCCCACCACTACCACATGAGTGAGAGTGAGATGGGGAGATCTCAGCAAAGTCAGATTACCTGGACCAGAAAAGGAGGCGAGGATGCTGACCAGGCAAAAACTAGACACGTCCACCGAGGCTGGTGGAAGCCTGAAACCCCGTGGGGAGCTGCACTCAGGGCAGCCTGGGCAGGTCAGGGAAGGCCTCACAGAAGGAGCTTTCAAACAGAGGAGATTTGAAGATGAAAGGAGGTTCCCAGATAGGCATGGCATGGGGAGAGCATGCTGGAGAGACACGCACACAGGTGTGAGAGCGAGTTGTACACAGGGCTCTTCTAGCTGTCAGGTCCAGAACCCCTCTCAGGGTGAGTGATGGTTCATTTTATGTGTCAGCTTGACTGGGCCAAGGGGGGCCCAGATATTTGGTCAAACGTTCTGGGTGTGTCTGTGAGAGTGTTTCAGATGAGATTAACAGTTCAATTGGCAAACTGAGGAAAGCAGATTGCTCTCCCTAATGTGGTGGGCCTCATCCAATCAGTTGAAGGCCTGACAGGAACAAAAAAGCTGACCCTCCTCTGAGGAAGAGAGAATTCTTCCTGCCTGACAGCTTTCATACCAAGACACTGGCTTCTTTCCTTCCTTCAGACTCAAACTGAAACATCAGCTCTCCCTGAGCCTTGAGCCTGCCAGCATTTAGACTGGAAAGACACCATTGGCTGTCCTAGGTTTCCAGCTTGGGGACTCACCCTGTTGGGGAGTCACCCTGTTGGGACTTGCCAGCCTTCATAATGGCATGAGCCAATTCCTTATATTAAGGAATTAGCTCTTTACCTCTACCTCTATCCCCACACATCCTATTGGCTCTGTTCCCCTGCAGCACACTGACTAAGCAGGATGGCTCGCATCCAAGTCAGGAGGAGCGCTTGTAAGGATGCAGAGAGGCTCACAGGGAACCCAGAAGAATCAGGACACCTGGCCTCAGGAAGAATGAAACTCAGGCAGCAGCCGGTGCGCACCCATCTGTCTGTCTCTCAGGGCTTCTCTGCTTTGCACTGCACATCTGTTCTGTTCTACTCTCCCAGCTCTCACTGAGTCTCTACTTCCTCATAACTTTGGTGCTCAGATGGCCCCTCAACAGCCACGCCATCTCCATTTTTCCTGCCCCTGGAGCTCAAGCACCCACCACTTGCAGGAAACATGCTCCTGGGTCTTAACCCAGACTCCTGGGAGAGGAATCTGACTGGTGTAGCTCACCTGGTTGAACTGACTGCATTAGGCAGCCCAGGAATGGGCCAGCCCATGGAACAGGTGTCCCTCCAACCCCCGGCCTGGCCCACTGCTCACTCACCAGGATCCAGGGGCTGGACAGAGTCTCTGAGAAGGTAGCATGCATGGGCAAGAACCGCACGGCACGCACGAGCATAGCCTGTCCAGGGACCGGGGCTGCACAGGCGGTGGGGTTAGAGTATGAAGAATCTTGTGTTCAATGCTAAGGCATTTAGTCTTCACCCCAAGGACTACAGTAGCCATAGAAATGCCGCGAGCAGTGAATCCGATGAGGTCATTTGACACAGTGAACAGCTGAGGTGGCAAACTCATGACCCACAGATACACTAGAGTGACACTTCTGTTTTTCAACTTCTGAATTGGTTGCCAGCATGTAAAACTTTGGAGATGTCACATACTTCAGACTTCTGGCAGCGCCGATCAGCTTTCCTGCAAAGGCCACCATCCACCAGTGGAGTGGCAGCATCCCCTTGACACGGAGCACTAGCCCTGCAGCCTGCCTGGCTCCCCTGGCTTCTTTGTTTAGTCCAGGGCCTGGCCTTCCGGGGGCCTGAGTTTGCACACCATGGGAGGTGAAGAGCCTGCAGAGGTGGCAAAACTGAAGCCAGGGAGACCAGGGAAAAGAAGATGAAGGCATGAAATTTGGGCACAGATATGGGGAATGCAGGAGGCCACCCAAGAAGAGTAGATCATACTGGTCTCCATTCAACCAGGATCAGGGCTTCATATATTTGCAAAGTCCTCCCTTGCTTCCTTGTGTTTATTCTGCACATGCCTCTCTTTGATATGGTATGAACATGACACGCAGTGCTCATGGTCAGAAAGAGCCCAGACCACATTTGTGTCCCTGCCCCTTCCGGCCCTGCCCTTCAGCAATTCTCTCCTCGGTTTCCCCAGCTTGTCACTCGGCATTTCCCCCGCATTTTCTTTCTTCAATTACATGTCTCTTCTTTTCTAGATGCCCAGAGCAATTTGGCAGCCTGGCAATTCCCTTTTGGGCTCCTCCTGTGACCATCTTAAAATGTTAGAAAACACCGACTGTAAGAGCTTGTAGACATGGATCCCAAGGCTTGCACCGCAGTTTCCTCCCAGGCAGTGCTTGGGCTCAGCTATTTTCTCGGAGGTCCTTCTCCATATTCCAGCTATGTGTGTAACTTTGAACAAAAGCCATTCCATAAGGGTCTTCTATTGGATTTCACCCAGGGGCAGGAATGTGATTTCCTTGATAAGAACCTTACCGAACCAGGCTCTGATATCTCACTTCCCCAAGTTCATATCCCAGCTTCCTAGCTCTGTGGTTGTGGGCCAGTTACCTAAGCTCTCTGAGCTCAGTTTTCTCAGCTGCAAACTGGGGATCATAATAGTGCCCACTTTGTGGGGTCATGGGGAGGGTTAAAGTAAATAACCCAAAAAAAGCAAAAAGCTTGGCCAAGTGTTCCAGAGCAAGTGCCCAAGAAAGAACAGCTATTTATTGTTAATATTGTCATTATCAGGAGCAATTAACGTGTATCCTATTTAGCAGTATAACCCCTATTGCTTTATCATCTTCTTTGATGCTTCCTTGACATTTCTAAGACAAAGAAGTTGATTTTTTTAACCTGTTGACTCCCAAGAAGAAATTGTGATTTCTTAAAGCAAAATATGTTGATGAAACATTTTTATTTTGGTAGCAGTCTGGAGACAGTGGGTGGGAAGGCTATACTTTGAGCTTTCACCAAATCTCCAAGGTGGGTTTTTAAAAGGAATACTTGCTCCGCTTGGCAGCCAGAGTTCAAAGCCCTGGTGAGAAATGGGAACTGCTAGCCTTTAATTGTAAATGAACTCTCCAGCAACAAAGGGTATAGAGTCAAGTAAACATTTAACAACTGATTCTGCGGCTATCACTAGTTTTCCTTTTAAAAGCCAGTATCTACCCCTTCCTGTCCTGTAGAGCAATTTGAGTTGAAGAAGTACGCGTTGGGGAAAGCTGGCAGAGGTGATGAGTAAAGGGGTTGCCCACATGGCTTCTCCCCCCTTTTTCACCACACTGTGCCTTATGAAGCTGTCTCTTTGGCATTATATGTCCTACCCCGTGGGCTGGCCCAAACCGCAGGGTTTCACCGAGAGCACTGAAGTTGTATTTTTATTTCAGGAACATGAGATTTTATCTAAGGTGCTTTAATGGGGCTCATAATATTGCTCTCCCTCTGCATAAACAGCTCATTCTTTCTATTGTTAACACTGTTGTGACTGGGCAGCAGCTCCTGCAGGCTGTGCTGGAATTAGAGACCACTTTGTTTGTGGAATAGCTCAGGAAGCTTGGCATCATTGATTTGCATCAGTGCCTCCGGAATAGCTCTTGCCTTCTCCTTAAAGATACTATCTAAACTGTGAAATTCATTAAATAGCCCCAGAAATGGATCAGGTTATTTAACACAACATCCCTAATGGCACAATATCTCAGCTGTCTGCACTGATAGTGAACATTGTCTTGGATAGTGTTATCAGCTCAGGACACCCGCTATGAATATTGATCCGTCGCTTGTTACAGCCATCACTTGCCATGGGGATAGGTCAGGGTTGGAACCCACCTAGCATCAAAGCAATTTAAAGACAGCACTCAGGCAGAATGTTAATGCCCACGCTGAAAAAACAAATCAACTCCATGCACAGAGGGTAGCTGGCTTGCTGGGTATGGATACATTTATTATATAGGAATACCTACCTTGGGTATAAATACATGTGTGCGGATGTTAGCAAGTCAATGCATTGCCCAATTTTACCTACAGGAGGTCTCGCTGCCTCCTGGTTGTTTATAAAACAGGCGGCCAGAAAAATAATTCGTTAAGGCCCTCTCTCCCTTCACCAAATTGAAAAAGTTAGCCTGTTCTTTGGGTGGAGGGTTTCTCTTTACGGTAGGTGAGTAAGAGGGAGAATTCTTCTATTTCTTCAGTGTTGATGGAAGACATTGCCGTGTTTCTTCTGTGTCAGTTATTTCCAGAGGCCGAGCACTGAGTGCGAGGGTTCACATAACCTTGTGCCATACTGAACACACATATCAGAAATATAGGAAAAATAAATATGGGAAAAATAAATTTTAAAACCACTAAAAGTTCTTAAAGATGTGCAGTCTTAAAGTGCCTTTATATGTTCTTGACTTTCTTTACAATCTGTTGCTTCTCGCTTTTCAGCTCCTTTCTATATTTAACACCTATATTTAAGAATTCTCACCACACATTTGCTTTTAAGATACTAAGTCTATATTGATTTACATTGCGCGCGCGCGCACACACACGGTTCTAAAACCTCAAAGGAAAAACGATTCATATCAAAGGAAAGATGATTCATATCATTTAAAGGAAAAAATTTTGAGGCAATGTATAAAGTGAGATGAAAACGACCCAGGTTGGCACTGCTCGTCTGCCCACACCTTCTCTGTCTCTCTGGCTGGGGATATGGGGTGGCCCCTGGAATGCCAGCCCACCTTTCCGTGCAAATGACCCCAAGATTTCTTACGGAACAGATAAGAAGAGGGACGTCTGGGAGCTCCCTTAAGGAGATCTATTTCTAGCTACCCTGAAGAATCTAAATTTGAAAATATGTGAATGTGGGTGTTAAGAAGTAAAGAGAGCTGGGGTCAGTATGGGGAGGGAGGGAGAAAGAAAAGGAAGATTAAAGAAACAATCAAGTGAGAACTGGGTGAGGATGAGTTGTCAAAACAGAAAACAAAGCGCCCTATCAGTATTCAGGAAGGCTCTGGGACTTGCCATCCAGGTTCCTGGGCGCCACCGTTTAGTTCCAGGGCTGCCCTTTTTTTGGCTTTCACAGGGCGGGCAGTCCCTCGGGTGGGAGGTGGTCCAGTGGGCTTGGGCAGGGCACTTCCTTTCCTGATTTCCCTTTAAAGCACAATCTATGTTTGCTTTAGGAATGGACCTCCAAGAAAATTTCGGCAGGGCTTTCAAGTCCCCAGGGAATACTGTGGCCGCCTCTGGGAGGAGCCCTGAGGTTTGAATGAGAAAGGCTACAAGGAGCTGGCCTGTAAGGCCTTCCCTTGAATAACAGATGGGATTAGCAGCTCCCAGCACTTTGATGAGAAGGTTTCTCCTCCCCTTCCTACACCTACCTGCTTGGACAATATTAATCGCCAAGCCATTGTTTGAAAACCCCCATGGAGCGGGGAAGAAAGAACAGCAGCCTTAGAGGTGTTTCTGGGCAGAGTGGCTGGGAGAAGCCCCAGAATTTGCTGCTGGGATAAACGCTTAGTGCCCAGAGACGGCTCCCCAAGTGACAAGAGGAAAAAGGAATATCGAGACAAGGGTGGCTGATGGAAGCGTCCCCAAGGACTGATGTTCTCCATCCCACAGGATTCGGTAGGGCAGATGGGTCCATTGCAATACTTTCTGTTCCCTGACCTGAAACTCAAACCAGACAAACATTTTTTAACCTTTTTCTTCTTGGGGCTGGGAGGGGCTTAAGGGTCAAAGGTACAACCTAATTTCCAAAGACCCAATTTCTGTGACAAATGACCGAATCTGTGACTGTGAAGAGGGCCTGGAGGGCATCCAGAATTGTGCTTAGCGTCTCAGCAAGCTAGGGCAGCCCCCCTCACCTGGCTCACCTGGCTCACCTGGCTCACCTGGCTCACTTGGCTCACCTGGCTCTGAGCCTGAAACCTGCCAAGGTTTCCAAAGCTGTGGGGCACCTTGGCGGGGCTCGGACATCTCTGCAAAACCCCTGCCCCAGGGTGGGAGGGAAAGCCTCGGGCACAGGACAGGGTTTTCTTCGTCCCCTGCTGGGCAGTGGGATGTACTGACCAGGTCCAGGAGAAGAAAACCTGGGTTCTAATCCGAACTCTGTCGCTGACCAACAGTGATCGTGGGCAGCTCACTTCTCATCTTTGAACCTCAATTTCCTCATCTTTTAAACAGGGATAATAGTCTTACCAGGCTACGTCCATCTCATAGGGATGCTCAGAGAATCAAGTGAGATTGTGCAAGCCCGAAGGCTCTTTGTAAACTGTAACTGTGAGAACACGAGGACTTAAAACCCGAGGTGACCCAGTCTGAGACCATCACCGTGATTCATTGACCGGGCAGGAGATGTTCTGAGCGTCGCCTTGAAGTCATCAGCCCTGGCCTCAATTGCATTCCCAATGCAAAGGCGGGTGCACTGTGGAAAGGGCGCAAGCCCGCCAGTGTGTGTATGCTGGAGGGATCCCGGGGATGAAAGCGTCCGGCCCTCGCTCCCTAGTGCAAACGCACAGTCCCTGCAGGTTGGGCAGAGGCGCGTGGAGCCGGCGGCGCTCTCCAGACAGGCGCGCGCACCTGGAGCACAGAGGCTCCCCTTGCCAAGGCCAGAGGCCCGGGTGCCGCGCGGGGCAGTCTTGGGGCTGCTGCGAGCAAACCCTGCACGTGGCAGGGGCCCGGGCCGAGCGAGTGCCAATCCGCGCGCAGCTCCCTGCGGCTCTCTCCCCGCCCCGCCTTCCCGCCCCCTCCCCAGCTTCACTTGGCCGCCCTGACCCTCCTACCCGCTGAAGAGCCACCGCCGAGCCACAGACGAAGGCAAGCCCAAGCGTGGCCATCCCGGACCCCGCGCCGCCGGCCTCCGGCCCGCGGGCGGCGGGCATGCTGGCATGGCAGGACGGCGGGGCCAAGGCGGCTCCCTCCCACCACAAGATCTCCTTCTCTGTCCTCGACATCCTGGACCCGCAGAAATTCACCCGCGCTGCGCTCCCGGCCGTGCGCCCTGCTCCTGGGGAAGCCAAGAAAAGTTTGGCAGAGACAGAAGCAGGAAAGGACGCCAGCTCCGGGGACCAGGCCCGCCAGCGGGAGACCCCTGGTAAGGATGTGAGGAAGCCCCCGGCCCCGGGAAGCCCCAGCTCAGATGATGCAATGGAGAGGTGTTTGTGCGTGGCGGGGGTGGGGATGAGGGTGAGCCAGGGACCTGGTGAGTGGCACTTAGAGGCGTCTTCCCCAAAGGGAGAAGGTGCACAGGACGAGGTGTAGCTCCTGTCATGCGATTGGACTGAGGCAGAAAGGAGGTCCCCAGCATTCCAGGTGAGGGATTTGCCACTGAAGCCCCATCCCTGCTCACCCGACAAGCGAGTCAACACCACAGATCTGAGTTGCTCGCAGTGGAAACTAACACCCAGCGCCTGGCTTGCCCAGTCTCGTTTATTTATTGGGCATTTACTGCGCCCGCCACGTGCCAGGACCTGGGCTAGAGACTGGGATAAAAGTCAGAAAAACTTCAGAAACTACAAGGCAGACAGCATCATTAACGTTGTCCCCATTTTATGGATGAGGGAGCTGAGGCTTAATCAGGTGTGCAGGTCTTATGAGTAGCGAGACCAGGTTTACACACCCCGTGCCCACTTCCAACCATCCAAAGACACCTGCAGAGAGACTCGGCTGCCCCATGCGGCTCCCTCTCCCCAGACCCAATCGTTGACCGCGCTGGGGCGGGGGTGGGGTGATGGGAGGCTTTTTGTCCTCTCTCCTCGAAACCCTTTTTGACTTACTCCTAACTCTGATGGACCCCTGATGAGGGGTCCAGGAAAGTTTGTGTCTGGAAGGGAGGACAAAAGACGGCAGCACCCGTGCTGGGCTGGGAGTGGGCACGAGGTTCGGTGGAGAGAAGCCGAGGGTCAGCGGAGCAGGTTCGCGCATCCTCCGTCTTCCCCTCCCCAAGTTTGGCGGTGATTGTCTGGGGCTCTGGGCGCCTCTGGCGGCTGCGCTTGGGCCCCGGCGGTCAGCCTGGTAATTGTTCGGATCGCCCCTCCGAGGGGCCGCGTTTCCCTCCCCTCACACCATGATCGATATTCTATTACGGGCGCCTGCATATCTCCTGCCCACAGCTTGCAGGTACCGACTTCAAACCCCTTTCCCTGTCTGATCCTAATATTGTTCGATTAAAACTTACCTTTAATAGATGACATCTATCGATCCGGCCCCGCACAAATCTGAAACTCTATTAACACGGCAGGAGAGAGGAGATGGGAAAGGGGGAATTTCACTTTAAAGGGGGACGGGGGCTTAATAACTTCTTTTTAATTGCTAGGAGTCCCAGACCAAAATAGGCTTCCAGTAACTGGGAAGACACAGCCCTAAATGCACTGGACGCCTCGATGTCTTAATGTATAATGATCCTAACCCCCCCACACCCCCATAAAGTTGTCCAACAAGGTCATTATATTTTCTTAATGCAGGGTGTCATTCATTCAAAAGACACTTCTTGGACGCCTACTAGGTGACAGACGAGTAAAGGGCAAGGGGGCACTGCACCCCTAAACCCTGACTCCTGGGAAGGGCTTGGCTAGGATGGGCGGTCGCGGGTTGCGGGAGAGGGGCAGGGCTGAGTTGGAAGAAGAGCGGCGTGCTCTGGGAGGTCGAGAAGGAGATCCAGGAACCCGGACAGACCGGGCGTTTCCGGGCTTTTGGTCACCGCCTCCTTCTTCCCTGATGCTGCAGGCCGAGGAGCGGGGGCGGCGTCCCCGCTGGAGGGCTCGGAGGCCGAGGAGGCGGAGGCGGAGGCGGAGGAGGAGGAGGACGCGAAGGACGCAGGAAGGCGGCGACAGGAGCGACCTGCGCGCCTACTGGCGGGCCCGGCGCGCTCTCCGGAGGCCCGAGCAGTGGCGCTGGTGGAGGTGGAGCGCGGCGCCGGCGGCCTCGCGGGCTCCCCGGGCTCGCCGGGCTCCCCGCGGCCCCGGCGCCGACGCTCCGAGCCCAGCTGCGCCAAGCCGCGGCGCGCGCGCACCGCCTTCACCTACGAGCAGCTGGTGGCCTTGGAGAACAAGTTCCGGGCCACGCGCTACCTGTCGGTGTGCGAGCGCCTGAACCTCGCGCTGTCGCTCAGCCTCACTGAGACACAGGTCAAAATTTGGTTCCAGAACCGCAGGACCAAGTGGAAGAAGCAGAACCCTGGCGCCGATGGTGCGGCGCAGGCAGGGGCCGGGGCGCCCCAACTCGGGGCGCCCGGGGCGGCGGCGACGGGCGGAGGCAGCACGGAGGATAGCCCGGGCCCCCCAGGCCCCGGCGCGCTGCCCTTCCAGACTTTCCCCTCCTACTCGGCGGCCAACGTCCTCTTCCCGGCCGCCTCTTCCTTCCCGTTAACGGCCGCCGCCGCCGCCGCCGGGGGCCCCTTTGCGCCCTTCCTCGGGCCCTCGTACCTGACCCCTTTCTACACCCCGCACCTATGAACCCGGAGCCCCTCCCGGCCCCCAGTTCGTCGGGATTCACGAATCGAGCCGTCGTGAGGTCTCCACTCCACGGAGGGGCGCTAACGCGCAGGGACCGCCCCCTCCTGGCGCGGGTGTCTACGCGCCTCTTTTCTGCCACCTGCCGGGAGGCGCCGCCAGAGGCCAGGGACAGGCCGCCCACCGACTCATGGTCGCGCCCCTTCCTGCCTCGCGGACCCCCTGAATCCACACGGTCCACTGTGTGTGTGGGGGGTGGGGGGCGGGGGCGCGGGGCGCAGGATCTGCCGTCTTTAAAAGTGCCCTCCAATCTTCCCGTTTCTGGACCTAGCTCTTCACTCTTGGTCAGGCTTAACTCAGCTCAAGGGCTCTTTTTGAAGGCCTGGGGTGTTGGGCACCCGGCTAACAAGGCTGTGTGGATGGGGACGCGAGGGAGCCGAGACCTCCAGCCCGCCAGCTGCTCCCACCTAGGATGGAATCCTCAAAGATTTTGGCTCACGCCTAGGGTAAGGGGCTTTCCCTTTTCGTAGCTGATTGTTTTCTCTTTTCATACTTGATGATTGGCCCAAACCCAGCCATTCCTCCTAAATACTGAACAAAGCTGGGTCCATGAGCACACACTGCCACTGTGAAATGGACAATTTTTTTAAATGCAAAAAAACCCATCGTTTTTTCAATCTTCTTTACAATTCGGACTTGAGCACTATTCTTGGTCCCAACAGACTCTCTACAGGTTATTCCTGAAAGAATGGGTATTTTCTTTTTCTGAGAAGACCTGAAGTTTGTGCTAGGAAACCTAAGAGCTTTGGAGCCAGACTTACATGCTGCAGTAGACACAGTTGTGTGGCTCTGCCAAGTTCTGAGAGCAGCTCTGACAAACCACAGCAATGACCCTAAAAGGCATAAAAATGATAATGAAGGGACCAATGGCTCAGCTAAAACCTAGAGGTCTATGCGTGAATCTGCCTGCTTTTATTGAGATGTAATTGACAAGACTGCCTAATTTGATTCGCAGTATTTGAGACTCTAAAACTTGGGTCCTGATTAGTGAATCTGTCCCCATGATACCTAAGCTCCCAACTGGGAACAGTGCTGGGGGACAGCTAGCTTCTCCAGCACACACATGAATTGGACTCATTTTTAAAAAGCACAAACTCAAACTTTTTAAAGCTTCATCTAAGGTTTTGACTTGAAAGCGATTTTTTGTTCCAAACAGACTTTCCACGATGGCAGCGTGAACAAGCAAAAGGTTGTAAGAGTCTGTGGAAAGAACTACTTCTTGGGTATAAAGAGCTACTGTGGAATCAAAAAGCATATTCATAATGGATTCAACTGCAGGAACTTAATTTCTGGATGTGCATTCTAACTACTGCTTTTATTATCTCCCCCAAACAATTAATTCTTCTGTAAAATTCTCCTGTCAGCTTTGTTTGGAATACTCTTCCTTTAGTTTTCTTTGTAATGTGTGGTTCGTAGCCCATATCTCAGAAATCCAGATGTCTCCAACTAGGTCATGTATGTTTCATTCTCACCTTTATTTGATTGAAGCCCATTGATATTTACATGGATACCATATTCCTTGCTACGTCTTGATAGCCTATGCCATTTATAATTAAATTTAACAATCAGTGATTTCTTATAAAGTAAAAGTACATTGGTATTATGAGCATGAGCACATGATATTGTCATCTTGAAATATCTAGTTCTATTATGATCAGGAATGACAGAAAATATCTTCCCCTTCTCTGAAATTAAATAAAGACTTCATATTCGTGACACGCTCACAAGATTTGAGAATGTTATTGCTTAATTACATATTACTTACTAATTTAGACTCTTTTCTTTGTATTCCAAAAAAGAAAAGTGTCCCCAAAACAACACATTGTACTTTCTAAAAGACAATTGAAGCCAGATGAGATTGACAATGCAGTTCCTGTAGTATAGACTATTATTTTATTCACTTAAGTGTTGATAAACACTCCCTCAAAGGCTATTGGTTGGTTTCTCAAAAGCAACATTCCATGTGTCAGGAACAGGCAGGCTAAGTGTACAGAGGCCAGATCTGTAACAAGCTGAATTTCTGCGAGATGAGGGAAACATGTCATTCCTCATAGGTATCAGAATCACAAGACTCCAGTTAGAGAGAGGGACTGGGGAGTGAGGCGGAGGCTAATCTGTTTGTGGACTAGCATGGAATGCTTTAATTCCTGACCTTTCTTGTTTCTATAAATTTTAACAGAGTAATGCTTGAAGTGTGTGACTTTGGACTTCTGCTGCTTTGAAACGCCCAGTGGCTTTCCAACCAAATCCTTAGACTCAAATCTATTGATGTGTTTGTCTAATAAATTCTTTTTGTAATGATTTCTCATTGAATTATTTCTTGTTCTCTATTAGCAAAGTTTTAAACTAACCTTATAATTATCAGAGGTTGTATAGGAGGTCTGACAATTAGGTTTGTGAACTTGTTACGATGTTGCTAACCTGTTTTTTATATCAGAAGGATTATTCATTATGAATTAGTACCAACTGGACAAATAGTTAACCAAGTTTACTATTTGGAAGTGCTGAAAAGGCTGCGTGAAAAAGTTAGACGACCTGAACTTTTCGCCAACAATTCATGGCTCTTGCATCACAACAATGCACCAGCTCACACAGCACAATCAGTGAGGGAATTTTTAGCCGGTAAACAAATAACTGTATTGGAACATCCTCCCTACTCACCTGATCTGGCCCCCAATAACTACTTTCTTTACCTGAAGATAAAGGAAATATTGAAAAAAAGACATTTTGATGACATTCAGGACATCAAGGGTAATTCGACAACAGCTCTGATGGCCATTCCAGAAAAAGAGTTCCACAATTGCTTTGAAGGGTGGACTAGGCGCTGGCATTGGTGCATAGCTTCCCAAGAGGAGTACTTTGAAGGTGACTGTAATGACATTCAGCAATGAAGCATATAGCACCTTTTCTAGGATGAGTTCTCGAACTGAATTGTCATACCTCATAGATGGATGTTAAAAATGGCCATTTTAGATCCCTAGTTGAAACCGTATAGTCAAGGAGCCTTATATATAAGGGAGTGAGTAGAGAACATTTCTAACATTGAGAGACCCCCATCCATTTTTGTGGGCACAGATCAACTTAGCATATTTGCCTTTTTTAGCAATAACTTGTAAGAACCTGTTTAACCAGCTTTTAAAATTATGAGTAGGCTAACATAAGAAATTCTTCAATAGATGCTAAGCACACTTAAAAATGTAATTCTACATTTAGAATTCTGCTTAGGTCAGTTGAAGGGAAGCATATAAGAGTCTAAGAAGAAGTGGGAACAGACTCAGGAAAAGAGAAAATGAAAGTGTCCCCCAACCCCCTCCAGTGGGAGGAGAACCCGGAAGGAGCCAGGCTGTGGAGACCAAGGGAGACTGAGCTGAGGCTCAGGGCAGGGGTGCTGCTGGGGGACAGCGAGAGAAAGTCACCCGCGACCCCTCTAACCCTTCCTGCTTCTCTTGGGCTGTGGTTTTCAAGGACTACAGGTGAAGCCCCTGGTCTCTGAGTAACCTGGTTCAAAGCCACGTCCACCTCCCAGTCGATATTGGAACTTGGTAATGTCCCCATATCTTTGGGTCTCTGTGTCCTCACCACAGCGCCTAGCTCAGAGGGCTAAAGGGAAGAGTAACATGCAGACGAGTTGCCGTGGGGAGCATGTAGTGCCTGGCACAGTGATGGTAGTTATTATTCCAGTCGAAGCTGGAAATCCCTAGAGATGCTGTACCTAGCCCAACCACCTCATTCACAAAATGTTCATTGCAGTTAAATAAACAGAGCTCCTTTATAATCAGCACCCAGAAACGGAACGCTACGAGCGCCCAGAACCCCGCTGTGTTTCCTTCCAGTAATTACCTTCCCCAAAATAACCACTATCCTGACTTCTGACAGCACACGTTCGAGCTGTGCCTGTTTTTTTCTTTTAATTATACAAATCGGATCCTACAGTAGTCTGTGTGTCTGGCTTTCTTGGCCCAACATTATCGATGAGTGTCATGCATGTTGCTATATACACAGTTATAGGTAGATGATTCCTTCTATTACTGTTGGCATATTATGTATACACATGCCACAACTTATTTATCCATTCTACTGTCGGTAGGTATTGGAATCCTTTTTGGCCATTTTGATTAAACAGTCTTACACATATCTTCTGGTTAGTATGTTTCCATTGGTAATATATTTAGGAGGGCAGTTACTAGGTATGCATCTATTTACCTTTAGTAGATACGCCAATCAGTTTTCCAGTGTGGGGGGTAGCAACTTACATTCCCACCCGCAATGAATGAGAGCTCCAGGTGCTCCACATACTCCCAACACATTTTCATCCCAATGATTCTGGAAGGTACGTAGAAGTATCGCATTATGGTTTTTCATTTTCATTTCCTGGTGGGTAATGCTGTTGACTACCTCTCCATTTGCCTGTTGGCCACTTGGGTGTCTGTTTTGGTGAAGTGTATAGTCAGATCCTCTGCCCCCTCTCATTTACCGGTAAAATAAACTGACTCTTGAGAGGCATGACTTGCCTGAAGCAACCCATGTTACCTAAGAAGCTGACTCAGTGAGGTTATGTGACTTACGCAAGCTCACACAGCTAGGAAGAGCAGAGCCTGCATTCTGGGCCTAATTACTCCAGGGCGATTTAAATTGTACATGGGTTGCCAGTTCTATAAAATACTGGATTAGAAATATTTTTAAGTGATCTGAGAGCTGTTTGGGAATTTTGTAGTTACAGGTCAAGTGTCAGGATTGGAAAGACAGGGTATTCCATAGCTCCTCCTTTCTCCCTTCTCCCCATTTCTTGCCACCACAAAGTGTGTTGAGTATTCATTCTGTACCAACAGTTGTTTTGGGTGATGGGAACTTCTTAGGCAAACAGGGTCCCAGGCACAGGGAAGATTACAGTCTGCATTCCCTTCCTTTCCTAGGATCATGGCGGCTGGTGGAGCCAAAAAAGGACTGTCCTCTCTATAACTTACCAGCTCTGCCATCCTGAGCTCCTTTCCTAGATGTTCTTAGCCTCTGAGAGAGGCACACAGTATGCTCTCGATCAATGTTAAAATTTTTCCTGCCAAATTATAAAGAGGCGTATTTAGGTAACCGTGAGGTTTGAAACTGGGCCCCAAACGGGGACTGCATGTTGAATAAATTGCCCTCCCCGGCAGCTGCTCTCCCACAGCAGGCCTCTGCAAGATTTTTCCTGGCCAAGTGCGCTGGGCAGGAGATGCCAGTCCTCACAAAAGAGCCCAGTGAACAATCTTGTAAAATTACTTATTTAAAAAAATCGATTCCCTTCCCGTGACCCATTTTCTTGTGTGTGTTGTTAATACATTTTTAAAAGGGGGCGATGTTCTCTTTGCTTCTAAATAATTTGCAGATCCTATGGCAGAAGGGGCTGGATCTGAGGATGGGAGGTGAGGGAGGGGGTGGAATTTACACCTGATCTTAGCCAAAAGGCCAAGACAAGACTCAACGGGGGGGAGGGGGAGGAATTTAGACAACTCTTTCAGAAGTCCAAACTCATGAGGTCTAAAATGACCACAACTGTGCAGGAAGGTTTTAAAGTAACTGTTAAAAGGACAGTTTATTTCCTTTTTTTTTTTTTTAAAGATTTTTATTAGGTAATTGGGGGGATGGGAACAGTGCTGGGGAATTAGGGGAAGGGGAACAGACAAGTTGCTGTCGTTTTTGTTGTTCAGTCTAGTTGTGGAGGACGCTGCTTCACTGGCCCATCATTGGGCTCTTCCCGGGCGAGGCACATCAGACACCGGCTTCTGGACGGCCACTCACTGCGGCTGTTGGCCGCTCACGCTGGCTGCTGGCTACATACGGTAGCCCATGGCAACCCACTGCCACAGGGACTGCAGCCTACGCAGTCGCCAGCAACTCACGGCAGCTCAGCTCCAGGTCGAGCTGTTGTTCAGCATCTTAGCTGTAGGGGGCAGTGTCACTGGCCCTCATATGTGGNCTTTCAGAAGTCCAAACTCATGAGGTCTAAAATGACCACAACTGTGCAGGAAGGTTTTAAAGTAACTGTTAAAAGGACAGTTTATTTCCTTTTTTAAAATTCCATTTTTCCCATTAGTGCATTTTCCCGAGGGGTTCTAGTTTTGCACAGTGGGCTTTTTTGGGTAAATCACCGTGGCTGACTAAATCACTAAGTTCCCAGGAATTCAGAATACTTAATTCTGGTTAACCAACCAGATCAATCTTCTTTGATCCTAAAAAAAATCCCATTTGTCTCCAAGCAAGATTTTAAGATCTTTTTAAAGACTTCAGAATTCAAGCAGATCTCTAATTTGACATTAGCTTCCTTCGATAGAAATCAATTCAGTAATATTGCAAATAGCAGCTTTTCTGGAGACGCCATGAAGACACCGTGTCTTGGGTGATAAATTCACAAGCTGACTTAATAAAAATGCTTTACATGTGAATCACACTTCTCAATCTTTCAAAAACACTGAATTCTTTTAATTGTAGACAAATATACATTATATAAAATTGACCATTTTACCCATTGTAACTGTTTGGATATCGGGCATGAAGTACATTCACAATATTATGCAAACATCACCTCTATCTTGTTCAGAACTTTTTCATCACCTCAAGCACAAACCCTGTCCCCACTTACTACCCATGCATGTTGATGTAATTCAAACCCATGTGATCCAATCTGCCAGTTGACTTCTAATATTTCTTTCAACTCTAGAAGGTAAAAATACTATGTGTCAATAACAGCTTCATGGCAGGACAGATAAAGGATATTTTGTCCTATCTCTCTTTGGAAGCTTTATATTGAGCTATCACACCTGCAGAAGCAGCTGGGCCCTTGATTTCCAAAGCTGTACTGAAGCCCACATAATCCCTTTAGGCTTGCTGTGTGCCAGGCACTGTGTCCCCCGAGGGGTGCAATGGTGAGCAAAACGGATAATGGATCCCTGTCCCCCCAGTGCTTCCACATAGCTACTGCCGCGGTCTTTCAGCTCTTTTCATCTCATACCTTTCAGAATCAAAAATAACGAACTTGCATCCCCAATATGTGCATTTATTTAAATTGTAGACAATAGTTCAGTGCTAACAGATTATTTACTTTGCAAAATAAAAAAATTGTATATTTAAAAGGATGAGATTATAAAATCGAAATTGCATTTCTAACGTTTTCTTCCTGCACATGCCTATTTCATCTTACCCTCCATTCCCGCTCTTTAGAGATGAGTGTCCTGGCAGAAAGGGTGACGCCATTTCCTTTTGCAGGTGAGGCCTCACCACACTGCTTAGCACCTACTGCATTTTGTGGTGTGTCATTGTCTGCTTGT